ACATAAATAATAATCAAAGTAGTCATACCCTCAGTACATGAGTAAACTACATATGTCCATACAAACTCAAAATTTGATCAACAAATAAAATAATGATGGTATATCAATCAAGAAATTTAACAAATTGTTCCTTCAAAACAAATGAATTTGAAGGAAACTAAAAGTAATTTAAATTGCTTTCCTAGCATAGACTCCTGTAACTATGATGGACCTTTCCTGTTTACGATAATTACAGAGATCAGTGATCTTGGTGGAGTGTATTAAAGGTTGCTCTTTACCTGTCTTTCCAGTTCCATAAAGGAAAAGACAATTTTGTCTTCTCCCTGTCCCCTATATGTTAATCCTATATAGGATTACTATCCCTATATAGGGACAGTAAATATGTAATCTAATTGGTAGGAGACTACAATTCCTTGAGTCACATTTCCAAGTAATAAGTTTATATGTTATAGGTCGCCACCCAAACAAAATGCAGAATTACTCTCTAGGAAAGCAAACAATATAAAGAGAAATGGAATTTCTTGCACAGGTACATGGGGCACTCTGGGTATCTCCAGTCTCCAAGAGGTAAGTAACCAGTGTCTGTCACCACCCTTTCCTCTGCTATTCAGCCTGAGACTGGGTGGGTAAGCCAGGCAAGGCTCCTTTACGGACCCAACTGCCCCTACTTCCAGGGGAAAGCAAGCAGGAAGTTCCACTTGGCCACAGTAGCTAAACTTCATCCTTCAGCGTAGCTTTTACCTGAAATTCAGTGTTGGAGGAAAACTTTCCCAGATCCATAAAGTCCCGGAAACTTGCCCAGATCAATAAAGTTGATACTCTACTTGTCATGTGTCTATCTCTTTGTCCTATGTAAACTCAGATGGAAAGGAGAGGTAAGATTCAGTATCTCCCTGAAAAAGGTGGATATACTGATTGGGGCCTTGAGTATAAAGATAAGAGCTGCCACACAGGGAGCAAGGCACCATGGGGGAAGATGGGAGGTCTTGGTGTCTGCAGCTGGAATTTAGGAACAGATGAGGTAGGTAGACATCTGATTACCAGGAAAACTTTGTAAATCACAGAAAGCTTTAAGACAGGCTTTTTAGACAGGAGTAGAAGGAATTATTTTAGCTACCATTTATTTTTCTTTTAGTCTTTCTTTTCTTACCACATCTCCACCTGCAAGAACTTTGAAATTGCCCAGAAGTAGCTGAGGTTTATGTGGTTAGAGCAATGCGACTCAAAATGTGGACTGACAATATCAGCAAGGCCTGAGAGCTCACTAGGAATGAAAATTTCCTTCCCCCACCAAAGGCCTACTGGATCAGAACCTCTGGGATGGGGCCCAAGAACCCATGTTTTTGTAAGCTGTTTGGGTAATTATTACACTTGCTAAAGTTTAAGGTGCACAAACAGAGCATTAGTGGGAGATTTTAAAGAGCATTTGGGGGAGCTAGATATTAGTAGAGAACACTAGATTAGCTTGCCAAAATTCCATTTCTCTTTATATTGTTTGGAATTTCATCCAGGGCTAAGGAGAGAACTGCAGAAAGACTGGATCCGTGGTTTCTCCACAGGCTGAGTTCACCCCCACACCAAGGGCTTTTAAATGGCCTTGGATGATCTGTTTTGCAGAAACTCAGACTGGGGATTCTAGATAAGAAATTCTTTTAGGGTTTAAGTGAAAAAAATTCAAGTGGAATTATTATAAGCTCAAATGCTAAAAAGAAATAACAAAAAGTGTATACCTAGAACTCTATTCCTAGAAATGATTTTCCCATCTCTGAAAAAGGAATGCAATCAGTTTACAAAACAGGTGTTGGTCTCACAGATAGGATAAGATTAGAGAGAATGAAATAAAGAGAAGGAAATAACACTAAGAAGAAAATTTGAAATCATATTGGCCCAGTTAGAAAAATATGACAAGGAAAAGTTTTAAATAGAAGAGTGAGAATAGGCATTAATGAGAACTCTTCCTTTCTTCCTTAATAACTGGAACCGTGACACTCTGTAAAGAAATGTCAACATGTTTAAAAGGAGAAAGAATGATCAGTGAACAATCAATGCAGAATTCTTCAAGCATCACTAAGTGAGTTTCAAGGTGGCGTTTTTGTAGATGGGACAACCAGTATTGCACAGGCTATAAGGACATCTGCCTGGGAAATAGAGCTGTATTAAACAAGATCCAGGGAAAATGACAATTGATTAAGCCTAGGCGTGGGTTTAGGCTGAACTGAATAGAAATAAATACCTCTTAATGAAAATGAAAGTGGGAAGAATGTATTTTAACACTGGATGTTTAAGGCAGGTCCAGAGTTCTGTGACATCATTCTTTCTCTACAGAGACCCGAGGCAGATTCCAAAGTAATATGTGAGAACAAAAAATGAAAACTGAAAACAAAAAGCAAATATAGAAAAGGAAACTACTAAGACCTAGCAAGAGGTATGAGCCCTACCTGGGGATAAAGAAGGAACAGAAACAACTTAAATGGGAGGGTAAAGGCTTAGGGCTGAGCAGGACCTGCTAAGTAGGAATGTTCTCAGAGGGACCCGGAACATCCCAGGGCTATGTCTCTGATCCAGAAAAGGAAGCGGTGGCAAGAAGAAATGTTTCAGTTCCCACCAAAGAAGCACCGACCATTTAAGTCTTAGAAATTCAATTCCAAGAAGGTAGGGTTTGGGTGAAATCCCACTAACCCAGCGGATTTCCTGGACCTCATCAGACCAGTGAAAGTACAGGAAACAGCAGCTCACGGATCAGCCGAAGGTAATTCCCCATGGGAGACAAAAGGGAACCTCCTAACCCAGAAGTAGAACTCACAGGCAGACATTCAATACTTGGAGCCTATGGAGTCCAGAACTAAAACAATTTGGGGGATCTTTCTTCGGTTAGAGAAATTCAGAGAAAAGAGTCAAAAATTGAGACAGTGAAGGAAGCATGCAAGACAATGCATTTCATTTGAAGAGTTTCCTAAGATAAATGTGGGGTGTCCTGCCCAGAGAGAACGGAGGCTCTTTCACTAAACAGATACAGATCTTCAGCAGGAGTAAGGCTGGGCTAGAAAGAGGGCTCAAAGAAGCAATAAAAATGAAAAGCTTCTAAATCCTTGGAACGGGCATCAAGAAAGACCCAGAGCCACCACTGCAAATGCCTAACATTTTCAAGGACAGTACCTAGTGTCAGAATGAATCCAACCACCCTAATGAGAAGACATTTCCCAATCTAAGTTGAAATTAACATGTGGTAGACTCCAGACTGCTTGGCAACCTACAGAGGCCGAACTATGGCACGGTACATTATATTTACTACTAGTAGTTTAGGGAGGCAAAGGAGAAGGTAACAACAGACTTCTTTCTGAACTTGACACCATGGGCCTCTCATTCGTTATACTCATGCTAGAGTTTAGACCTCATCTCTCACCACTGTCCCCAGCTCTCTGCTCCAGCCATACTGGTTTCCATGACATTCCTAGAATATGCCAAGGATGCACCTGCCTCATAGCCTCGGCATTTGCCAGTCCCCTGTACACCAAAGAAGTAGCATCTATTACAAAACAAGATTTCTAGGATTCAACAGCTAGAACACACTCTCCATTTCAGCAGGACCCTCTAAGACTCAGCAGAGAAGATGGAGGATGGAAAAAATTGGGGACTTAATGCCTTTACAGTTTAGTTTATTTTACCAGGGGAGGTGGATTTTATTTATTCTTTATTTCTTTATTTGAGATGATCTTGCTCTGTTGCCCAGCCTGAAGTGCAGTGGCGCAATCTTGGCTCACTGCAGCCTCAACCTCGCAGGCTCAAGATCCTCCCACCTCAGCCTCCCAAGCAGCTGGGACCACAGGTGTCTGCTGCCACACCCAGGTAATTTTTGTATTGTTTATAGAGACAGAGTTTCACCATGTTGCCCAAGCTGGTCTCAAACTCCTGAGCTCAAGCAATCCACCCACCTTGGTCTCCCATAGGGCTGGGATTACAGATGTGAGCCACCACGCCCAGCCAGATTTTATTTATAGACTTTTATTTCTCTGAGAATTTAATAATTGGAGGGAATTCACATTCAATTTGTGAGCATTATTATGCAGCTGAAAATGTGTTGAGGAGTGGGTTTATGATGTCAGGAGGTACTCCTTGTGCAAACTCTGTTGATACAGATAGGACAAGATGCCAGGCTCAACCTGATATGAAAAATAGGATAAAAACTGAAGCTAGGCATGGTGGCTCATACCTATAATCCCAGTACTTTGGGAGGCTGAATCAGGAGACCTCACTTGAGGTCAGGAGTTTGAGAACAGCCTGGCCAACATGGTCTCCTAGAAGGTGGTTCTAGTTGTCGATAATGAATACCCTTAGGGTTCAGCTGTCTTAAATTTGGGGTGAGAGATAAAATGCTTTACAGAAGGCTGGGCACGGTGGCTCACACCTGTAATCCCAGCACTTATTATATAGATATAATAACCATGAAAGCAGAAACTGGCTGAGCGTGGTGGCTCACACCTGTAGTCCCAACACTTTGGGAGGCCAAGGAGGGGGACGGGGGGATCAGGAGTTCGAGACCAGCCTGGCCAACATGGTGAAACCCCATCTCTACTAAAAATACAAAAATCAGCCGAGTGTGGTGGCAGGCACCTGTAATCTCAGCTACTTAGGAGGCTGAGGCAGGAGAATCGCTTGAACCAGGGAGGTAAAGGTTGCAGTGAGCACAGATTGTGCCACTGCACTCCAGCCTGGGCTGGAGACTCCATCTCAAAAAAAAAAAAAAATGCTTTACAAAATTCTCAATTTAGGATTCCCAGGGAGCTCTGAATAAATCAGGCCACCCAGAACCCTGCAAGGAAGAAGATAAGTGGTAACATTCAGGCATCCTGAACCCCAGACAGAGTTAACAAAGTTTGTTAGAACTGGAACCCATGTCTCTTGACTCCCAGACTAGCACTCTTTATGCCCCGCCACACTCCATAGTTCGAATCACATAGGCAATTTGTCCTGACGCACAAAAAAAAGACATCTGCACCCACCTGCTGGGGGAGTTGCTATGGTTATTTGCACTGAGTGCGGCTTAGGAGATCTCAGTAGGCTCACATTCACCGTATAATCAGTCGTAGGGTACAAATTCAAACATACTACAGGCACTCGTTCCCTCGTTGTGAAGTTAAACGATGTTGCATGAGAAAAGTTATCCAGATACCACCTCTGACCCAGAACGGTAAACTGTCATGAAATTAAAAGAAAGTGTTGCATTACTTTCTGTGGGCTAGCAGGTGCCTAGACTATTAGCAAAAGCAAGTTAAAGCAGGAAAGTTCCTTTTATTTATCCTCACCCACTTAGAAGTATTTTTAAGACAATAGCAAGCTAATCTGAGGAAGGACTTTTCAAAGCTACCTTACCTGTCCTTAAAATCAGATATAGGACCAAGCTTAAAATGCATAACTACATCTCAGACCAAGAAAATGTTAGGCTATTCTAAAATAATCCCTTGATTGTCACCCAAATGAAAGAGATTACAAAAGAGATTACATTGAAGCTAATAGGCAAAATTATTTTTTTCTTCCTCCTTCCCTTCTGAATAGTTCTCTCTCTCTTTCTTTCTGTTTTTTTTTGTTTTTGTTTTTTTTTCCTTCTGAGACAGCGTCTTGTTCTGTCACCCAGGCTGGAGTACAGTGGGACGATCTTTGTTCACAGCAATCTCAAACTGAAGTGATCCTCGGCCTCCCGAGAAGTTGGAACTATAGGCACGCACCACCATACCTGGGTAATTATTTTTACAATGTATCTGTAGAGACAGGATCTTACTCTGTTGCCCAGGCTGGTCTCAAACTCTTGGCCTCAAGCGATCCTCCCATCTCGGCCTTTCAAAGTGCTGGGATTACAGATGCGAGCCACTGCACCTGGCCAAAATTCTTTTAATTTCTTTTCATTGTAAGAAATCCATGGACAAGCCTCATAGAACAGAGTACTTAAACTAGATGAGTTCCTTAACCCTATGCTTGGAGGAAGAAAAGAACCTATGCGGACCACTGCAGATTATGCATTCAAAGCAAATATCATTGTACTTCACTGGATCCTTCCTATTAGACCTCTGGTAACAGGGCTTTTGATCTGTGGAGTCATATCACACACTGTCACCTAATCATTTTCTACGCACTACCAGCTCCAGCAGGGAATTATAGGGAAAAACTTTTGTGATGGTCCCATAAGTAATATGATCAGTCAGTGTGTGTTAGCTGGTAGAGACACATGCTCAGTGTTGCCACTGATGCTGGTACCATTGTTTATACCATCTTCTAGCCCTCCTTATTCCTGTCAATCGCTGACTCTTTTCTATCCATTTCCACAGTCATCTAACACCCTCACACCTGGTTCATAAGGATTCCTCTCTCTCAAACTCTTCGAATTCTCTTGGATAACTTAAACATCCTTACAGATAAACCATCAAATGTTGGCCTCAGAGTTCTTTGAGCTCAATGCTATGAACTTCCTTCACTCTACTTTGGCCACCCATATCCATGGCCACAACCTAGATTGTGCTATCGTCAGAGCTACTCCCCCACGGCCTGGCAGTCCCCTATTCTTCTGGACCACTTACAAGTGAGACATAACGTGTTCATGTGTGTTTAGGCAATATGTCTATTCTCTTTGGCAAACCACTTTTGAATATTGACTTTTTTCCAGTCAATTTAAGAGTGTTTCACCTGTCACACAAATTAATCTTTATCTAACATATTTCTTAAAGCAACATTTTTTAAATTTTACCCTTTAATCATTTTAGTGTACAGTATGAAGTCATCACTGGTTTTCTTAACCAAGAAGCTAACCAGTTGTCCCAGAACCATTTACCGAATAAATCTCCTTTCTCTGCTGAGTTGAAAATTAATATTTATTATATATTAAATTATTTGGGTACTTGAATATGTTTCCAGCTCTAGTGTTCTTTCTAATATGGAAATTTCAACATCTCACTTGCCTGCTTAAAATCCTTCAGAGTAAAAAGAAAATGGGGAAAAAAAAAAGAGAGAAAACAAATACATAAAAAATAAAAAATCCTTCAATGGCTCCCCACAGACATCAAAATAAAATCCAAATTCAAAAGCATAGCATACAGGGCTCCTAATGATCACACCACTGCTTAGATTTGTGCCTCATCTCTTCCTACTCCCCTCTGCTTTCTCTGTTATCCAATATGTTACTCGACTTGCCCACAGTACCCTTCTTCAGCCCTCCTCTGCTCTTTCATCTGACTAATTCCTACTTATTTTCTATGACTCAGAATAATAGTCTTTGCTTGTGGTTTAAAAAATTGTACCTTGGGTTTGGCACAGTGGCTCACGCCTGTAATCCCAGCACTTTGGAAGGCCGAGGCAGGTGGATCACTTGAGGTCAGGAGTTTGAGACCAGCCTGGCCAACATGACAAAACCCCATCTCTACTAAAAATACAAAAATTAGTTGGGTGTGATGGTGCATGCCTGTAATCCCAGCTACTAGGGAGTCTGAGGCGGGAGAATTGCTTGAACCTGGGAGGCAGAGGCTGCAGTGAGCCAAGACCGAGCCATTGCACTCCAGCCTGGACAACAGAGCAAGACACCATCTCAAAAAAAATAATAATAATAATTTGTACATAGACATACACACAAACAAAATCTCTATTATTGTACTTACTTTTATTATTCCATTATTAATTTACTTTTTGTCAAAGCACTCACTATACCATATTGGAGTTGCCTATTTACCTAAATATTTCTACTAGTTTGAATTGAAACTTCCAGGTCCTAATACATGATATCCTTTTGGTAAATAGAATTAATTAATTAATTTTGGCCCAGACATGGTGGCTTACACCTGTAATCCCAGCACTTTGGGAGGCCAAGGTGGGTGGATCACTTGAGATCAGGAGTTCAAGACCAGCCTAGCCAACATGGAGATACCCCATCTCTACTAAAATTAAAAAATCTCAGGGCATGGTGGTGAGCACCCATAATTCCAGCTACTTGGGAGGCTGAGGCACAAGAATTGCTTGAACCTGGAAGGTAGAGGTCACAGTGAGCCAAGATTGTGCCACTGCACTCCAACCTGGGTGACAGAGCAAGACCCAGTCTCAAAAAAAAAAAAAAAATTAATGCAATACTTACTGAGTTTACTCTCTACCAGATGACTTTCTAGGTACTAAAAATGACACAAAAATAAATCTTAGTTCTTACTTGGATTTACTTATAATTTTTACTCATGATGTTAAAAAAAAATCTAGTTAAATGAGGGCCAATTGCCATGCAATGAGTTCCTTAAAACTCCATGCCCAAATGTGACTCTGACAGCACAATAAGCTGTATTATTTAAAGCACTAAAATAAAATATAAGATTGAAATGTCAGGCAGAGAAAATGATAGCAAGTCACCAAATATAGTATCTTTCTTCGAGTTAGTACCTCACTTACATCCATCTCACATCCATCTCTAGAAACAACAATCACAAACTGTCTAGAAGTTCATCCATTTTTAAATACTTTGGATACGTACTCGGAGATCACCCAAATTTTTAAATAACACAATTCTTTAATGGATAGCATAAGAGATCTCCTTACTTGGTACATGTATTCTGATCCAATTTTCCTAGAATGCCTGTTCAATTTCAAACAAGTTTCATTAAATATTGAAATATTGAACATTCCATCATCTTCTAAGATATCATCTTCTAAAAGACAAGAGAGAAGGTTATAGATAGGTTGCACCATCTTAGCAAAACGCATCATGGCTAGGTACAAGTGAAACTCTGACACCTTAAGAGAGCCAGTTGGGTGTTCAACACAAATAACATTAAATCTGGCATCAGCAGACTTAGCTTCAAGTCTTGGCTCTCCAAATTCTCAATTGTAATGACCTTAGCTAAGTCACTGAACCTCAGTCTCCTTGTTTGTGAAATCAAGTAATTCATCTTGCTTTTCTTAGGTCACAGGCTGCTGAGCTAATCAAATGAAGCATTTAAAAATTGCCATAAATTAATAAAGAAATCTGTGATATTTTTAGAAAGTTAATCCTATCATTTGGATCATCCATAGTAAAATGTCATAAAGGTAAGCTTAACAGTAGCCAGAAAGTCTGAGAATAAGGAAAGTGGTGAATAAAAATCAAAGGCTATAGATTTAAACACTACCAAGAGTGCACTCCAACCTATAAAATGACCAGAAAGTAGATGACCAAGCAAGAGGAAATTTGCTTTCACAGCAGACAGCATTTCAAGAGCACTCAGCTGAGTACTAAGGCAATAAAATAATCAGAAAGCAGACTTGTTTCAATCATTGTACAGAAAAAAGTCATTTCATACCTCCTTCAGTCCAATTCATTCTTACCATGTTCTATTTTCTTAATCTAGTTTAAAAGGATAGGCTTGTTACTAATGAATTAAAGAAATAACAGAGAGTGAGGAATAACATCAGTAATTTTCAAGAAAAAGCAAATTTCCTAACAAACAAGACTAAATTTTCTACCAACGAGAAAGGTGTAAATGTCTACCAAAGAGAAGTTATTTTATAACTACCTTTAATGTGTGTTTCTCCCATGGGAGTTTCTGCTACCTAAGAATAAGAATAATAAATTATTCTAGTCAAGATCAGAAATGTCCATAGCATTTTCAATATCACTGACGTATGTAGCACAAGGCAACTAACTGGGGAAAATATTCCTGCCTATAATTGGAAAGTGTAGAAAGATGGTTATGAGAGAGAATTTGAAGACCTATCATATGTGCTGTCCTTTATTTTCACAACTTTTAAAGATTTCATAAGGACATCAGAAATTAAAATTGCCACATATATGCATATGATTTTGAGAAATACAAACTGTTTGCATGTAAGAAATGCATGTATGTAAGAAATACCACATAAAGCTTCTGTCTCTGTCTGCACAGTTCGCATCTCAATATGATTTTCGCATAAGACAGTCATTATCGTCTGAATTCACGGTAAGATGGCAATGTGAACAAAGGCATCTGGCTCCCACTTCCCACGCCCAATACTGACAGAAGTGATGGAGAATAAGTAAAAATGGGTCAAAATTTGCATCTGGGTTGGAAAGAAGGGTCGGTTGCCATACACAAGGCAGAAACATGAAGACATTTCAGCTTAGCACAGCATGGAAGAGCCTGGGCTGAAGAAAGACCCTAAGACCTACTGTGCAACCTGTCTTCCAAGCAAAGCAATGTAGTCCCAAAGTTTCAAAGGAAAAAACTGGAGGAGAACTAGAGCCCATGGGAAAGTAAAGATAAGTCACAGGACAAATCGATGACACATGCTCCATCTGGAGCCATTTAGCCCAGTGGTTCCCAAACTGCACATCAGAATCACCCAGACATCAGCAGATTTGAAGTGATGCATGGACATCTGTATTTTTTTTAGGAGTTCACCAGACAATTCTTCTTCTCTCTCTCTTTTTTTATTTAAACAGGGTCTCATTCTGTCACCCAGACTGCAGTGCAGTAGCATGGCCTGGGCTCACTGCAACCTCCACCTCCCGGGCTCAAGCAATCCTCCCACCTCAGCCTTCTGATTAGCTAGGACTACAGGTATGCACCACCAAGCCCAGCTAATTTTTGTGGGGTGTGTGTGTGTGTGTGTGTGTGTGTGTGTGTGTAGAAATAAGGTTTCATCATGTCTCCAGGCTGGTTTCAAAACCATCCACCTGCCTCAGTCTCCCAAAGTGCTAGAATTACAGGTATGAACAACCAAGCCCCTAACCTCACCAGGCAATTCTGATAGGCAATCAAGTATATATATTAAAAAATAGTATATATACTACTATTGCTACAGCTAATAATAATAAGAGTCCTTTTTTAGCCCACTGTAGATTAGTAATGGGAAAGGACTTCAAAGTAGAAGCCTCAGGACCTGAAGGTACCATCTGGCACAGAGCCTGGGTTGACAGAAGGGGCTTGCCTCTTTCCTGCCTTGGGAGGCTGTAATCCCATAACGAAGCCAGGCCCAAGGCCAACAGCTTCCCCAATCATAGCAAAATGCTCAGAAATAAAGCACAGGGTGGTGGGCTTTCTCACAGCTGCTGCCCAAAGGACACTGGATCATCCAACCAGCAGTAAATCCTTCATGCTGAGATCTAACATCAACATACTAACATTATCTAATAAAAAGGAAGATCAAAGGGAAGGCCATCCATTTTATTATGAGGGAAATACCAGACCTAGACAGAACTTTTATCTTCTAAAGATAAATAATCCAGAAGGGGAAAAAAAAAAACCTGTTAAATGATTCTACAAAGAAGGAGAGGAAAAGAGAGGAAGACTGTGCTTGGGAGGCAAAGAATGAGCGTATTTATAAAAAAGAAAATATTGAGTGAAAGAATGGTAAAATTAGGCAGCATCTGTTTTGTACGGTTCAATAGAAATTCTTAAAATAGATTCAAACAAGAGATAAAGGATTAGATAATAAGAGAATGTGACAGCAGAGAGGAAACTGGTGGAGAGAAGCAGAAATGAAAAGAGAACTAGATGAAACCCAAAGAAAAGGAAATGAAAGTGCAGCAGCAAAATGTAAAGTGCATTAGAAATGGTAAAGATCGGCTGGGCGCAGTGGCTCACGCCTGTAATCCCAGCACTTTGAGAGGCCAAGGTGGGCAGATCACGAAGTCAAGAGATCGAGACCATTCTGGCCAACATGGTGAAAGCCCATCTCTACAAAAAAAAAAAAAAAAAAAAAAAAAAATTAAAAAAAAAAGAAAGAAAGCCGGGCGCGGTGGCTCAAGCCTGTAATCCCAGCACTTTGGGAGGCCGAGGCGAGTGGATCACGAGGTCAAGAGATCAAGACCATCCTGGTCAACATGGTGAAACCCCGTCTCTACTAAAAATACAAAAAATCAGCTGGGCATGGTGGCCCGTGCCTGTAATCCCAGCTACTCAGGAGGCTGAGGCAGGAGAATTGCCTGAACCCAGGAGGCGGAGGTTGCGGTGAGCCGAGATTGCGCCATTGCACTCCAGCCTGGGTAACAAAAGTGAAACTCCGTCTCAAAAAAAAAAAAAAAAAGAAATGGTAAAGATCGGAAATGTAAATGCAAAAATGCATATTTGTATAAGTGCATATAGAGAACAAACTTGTTATATATTCAAAGAAGGCAGAGGAAAAAGACATGGACAATAAGAAGGAGAAAGTGGAAAACCAGTGTGGACAAACAAGCAAGTCCACATAGGGGTATTTGAAGAGACAAAAACAAACTTAAAAAAAAAAAAAAGCAATAATCAGAGATGTAATAAAAGAAAATTTTCTTAATATTTAGTTAAACCAAATTCTAAAGACCAAAAACTCACAGGGGGCTTGGCGTGGTGGCTCACACCTATAATCCCAGCACTTTGGGAAGCCAAGATAGGCAGATCACTTGAAGTCAGGAGTTTGAAACGCATCTGGCCAACATGGCAAAACCCCGTCTCTGCTAAAAATACAAAAATTAGCTGGGCATAGTGACACATGCCTGTAATCCCACCTATTGGGGAGGTTGAGGCACAAGAATCACTTGAGCCCAGGAGGCGAAGGTTGCAATGAGCCAATATCACACCACTGCACTCCAGCCTGGATGACAAAGCAGACTCAGTCTCAAAACAACAACAACTCACAGGGTACTAGGAAAACTTAGTGCAAAACATGAACATTTGTATCTGCCCACTACCCAGACGGAGGTTCCATGAAGGATGATACTTCCGTGTCACCATCAAATTCCCAGTGCCTAAAAAAATCTGACATATAATAGGTGGTCAATAAACATTTGCTGGGTACATTAATAAATGATTAATGTTTTAATTTTATGGCTAAGGAAGCCTTCATAATATGCAAGCTGAAAACCAAACTGCTTACACTAGAATTTTTATTTATTTATTTATTTATTTGAGCTGGAGTCTGTCACCCAGGTTGGAGTGCAGTGGTGCTATCTTGGCTCACTGCAGCCTCTGCTTCCCATGTTCAAGCAATTCTCATGCCTCAGCCTCCTGAGTAGCTGGAACTACAGGCACATAACACCACCCCTAGCTAATTTTTGTATTTTTAGTAGAGATGGGTTTTGCCGTGTTGACCTAGTCTGGGTGATCCACCCACCTCAGCCTCCAAAAGTGCAGGGATTACAGGCGTAAGCCACCACACCTGGCCAGGATTTTTTTTTTTAAAAGAAAGTCACATCTTCTTCTAACTCTTCTTTCAAAGCTTTCAATTCTCAATATCAATATGAAATACTTCTAGAATTGCAAGAACAAAAGTTTATGACCTAAGAATTTTATCTTCAGTCAAGCTCTTATTTCACATATGAAGGCAACAAAAAAACATTCTCAGATCATCATGGACTCAGGAAGTATCCCATTCCCTCCCTGTGGGGTAGACAAATCACCACACAGAGAGATAAATAGAAATAGAGAAAAAACAGAGAAAGTGGTTTAAAAGGACTGTCAATAAGTACTGAAACTATTAAAATATATACCGAAGGTTAAATTCTCGCTACCAAGGTTTCTATAAATCAATATAAGAGTGAGCTCTTTGAAGAGATAATACATGTTAAAAATAAGAAACTGGTAATATAATGCCATACTAAACCAATAACAGAAGAGAAGAGAGAGGGAAAGAAATAAAAGGAAGTTTTATAAATAAAAGGAATGCTAACTTCCTTGTCTCATTCAGGGAAAAGTTAACAATATTTCAGTCTTAACACTGG